ATTTTAAGAATTAACCAATTTAAGTATTGTAACGTATTAATACAAACTTAGGATTCATGATGGTTATTTCTTTGAGCTCGTAAAACAGCTTAAAATCTTTCGTATCACATAAAAAATATGACTATTTTAAATTTTTAAAGAGTGAAATACACTTTTCCATGCCAAGATATAGTGGCATATATATAAAAGATAAAGTTAGGTGTTAAATATGTAAATACATAGGATAGGAATGGTATAAAGAGAACAAAATAAAGTCGGTTTTGATTATATATATATATATATATATTTCCTACCTTAAAGTCGAAGAAATATTCTCATTTTGATTAGTAGGTATATTTTGTCTTAATTGCAATAACAGATGGTTTTATTTTGTCTAAACTTGACATGAGTTATTAAAATAACATCTATGTTGTTCTAGCATTACATTATGGAGGGTTTGCCTACACAAACAAACATCTCACCAAAAATAATTCTTTTGTAAAAATTATTGTTTTATTAGCGTCAAATGTCACCTGGATAGGCATAAGTTTCGATGATAATTTTAGAGCACAGAGCTTTTAAAAAGATTAGTTGTTTAAATAAAAAATCTAAAAATTAAGTTTAGGATTAATCGAACTTATCTCTGAACTGTGATGATTCTAAAGATATCAAATTCACTCAAATGATCCCTCTTCCCCATGCAAACACACCCTCTCGTCCAAGAAAATGGTTATAATCTAAAAATTTTCTATAAGAAAGAGTGGCAAACTATTATTCAATACTAAAATTAGTAGAGATTTTTTAGTTATACAATCGTCTCAGTTTTTCTCTTTCATAGACTTTAGATAAAAGAAAGCATGTGTTCCTTGTCATTTTGATTGCATTATTATATGTGAATCATCAATGAAATTGGCTTTTTTTCTATCAATAAATCATTTCATTGCATAATAATTTGGCATCAAAGATGGAAAGCTGACATACCTCTATACACAAAGTTTTCACCGATCACAAGTATTTAAGCTCACATAGTTTGCACATTATTCTTATAACAAAAAAGTGATATCTTTTTAAAATGGGATCAAATAACTTAAAAATTTTCAAATTATAGAATCTTTCTTTGAATTAATAGGCTCATGGCCAAAATATTGCTTCTCTTTGTAGAATGAAAACCTTTCTTTGATTGATCCCTATGAGATGATGTTATCATATGGAGTTTTTAAAATGGGATTTAATATGTTTTCTCGAACATGTTGTCTAACCTCATCAAAGAGCAATCTTATTAAGGAATTCATGGTAACTCCCACCCAAAATCTGAGTTCTTTTCCCTACCGTCACTTGACAATTCCCTTTTTAATATTGGGAATTTCAATCATCCACCTTGCATGGATTAGACAACCCATAAGTTGATGGCGGCATAATAAATCATTTATTGCATTAACTTGACGTTTCTCTCTTAATATCATCTAGAAAAATCCCGTCTTTTTGTCTAAAAACAGTGTCAACTAAATATATGAGAACATGATCGTCACTAAAATTTCTGAGGATTAATTCTCAAGAGCAAACATAAAAAATTGTAATTTTTTTTCTTTTCAAAGGTCTTTATAGTATAAGTTCTCAACAAATGAAATATAAGAAAAATTAATGCTAAATTGATCATTTATAGAAAACCTAGGGGTGCCTCCAAATAATAAGCCCAATAAAGAAAAAAAAGTGGACATTTTCATTTTCAATTTTAAAGTTCCTAAATACATTCCTCAATAAGTGAATGACAAAAGAGTGAATGAGCAAATAAAGTTTCCACTTCAAGCCCCCATAGTAGCCCTTAGACAATGAACCTCCAGTAATGCTTAACATTATATCATTTTTAGTAATTCTAGATGAGGCATGGGAATATAAAGGATCTGCATCTAAAGTCGTCAAATATGTTCACAAATGATAAGCTATAGAAGACACCTAATTTTGAATGGGTTCCTTTCAAAGTATCTCCAATAGTAACTCTAAATATAAACTTCATCAAGGTGGGTGAATATATAGACGCTTTTTACTCAAAAGTAATTCATAAGCGTAACAAAGGTACACTTAAATTACCGAACTCCACTAAATTTATAGAGAATACAAACTTCTTCTAATTTGATGGGCTGGCTAAATGTCAACCAAAAACAAAATTTAAGAAAATTAAACTTTTATAGGAGAAAATTTAGTTCATAACCCACACAAAAGGTGCAGAAAATTTACTAAATAATACTTAAAACTACACATCAAACTTTTATATTGATGATGATAAAGATGATAATGATAAAATAATCTACATTTAGATTTCTATTATACAATTAAATTTCTCTCAAATCGTAAATTTATCGTGCAAGCCCTTAAATGCTAGTACTTTTTTATGAATTTCTGAAATTGATTGTTAATTTTTATTACCTACTTAAAAACTAATTTTGACGTATATTTTTCCAACTTAAATTACTAAAAAAAGCTAAATATTAATGAATTGTCTTTTGAAGCATTCAAGAAAAATGAGCTCTAAAGTTTCAGGGACCACCCAACGATTGCTCTGCTATTGCAGACTTCAGGCTTCTTTGCTGATATCACGTCAGCCACGTAGCTACGACGAACAGTTCTACATGTGTCAGCAGAAAATCACAAAGAGTTGTGGCTTCTTCCGGTGACCAGATAGGCTCGAAGAATCGACAGCCTAGAGTGTGAGGAGTGCAGAGTATCTCTGGAGGACGGCCTGACTACTGACATACACAATCTCCACTTTTAAATTAATGTTATCATATTATTAAATGTTATTTTAATAGTCTCATTTTCTATTTTAATAATCATGATACTCGTTGTTAAGTTTGATATATATCTTATTTTTTTTACTGTTCTGAGGTTGATTTTTATTTCTTAAGTATCAACTATATTGTTATGACAGTTCTTTTGCAAATAACATTACTGCAAAATGAGCATAATGATCATTTGTCCAGAAATAGTAGTAAAATATATATTTTCCAATAGCACAAACCAAACCGTTAGTAGACTTAGGGTCTGTTTGGCGCAACTGCAGATTCTCAGCTTTTCAGCTGCAGCTGCGCTGCCCCATGAAGCAGCTGTAGGGAAGCAGCTGTGGGGAAGTTGACTGTCTGTTTGGTGCAGCTGTGTGAAAATGTTGTGAGCCAGCTGTTTAATGTAAAAATGACCAATCTGCCCCTATTTGTTAAAACTGTTTAAAATATTTCGATTTATTTGTATAAATATGGGCTTAATATACATCAAGTTTATAAAAAATATTATTTTTTACTTAATTAAATGAAATAAATGGTTTTCAACATTCA